AATCGCAAGTTGCTGGCAGTGTGACCAGATGATCGCAAAAAGCAAAGCTAAATTCGTTTTTAAAAAAAGGTTAGACAAAGTTATGCGCTATGAAAATTTTGGTTAAAAAGGCGTCAACACATTGCCGGGGATCAGCGAACTAAACGAAAACTAAAAAGGTTAAAAAAAAGAATGATTCTTTTTTCGTCTGTCGATTTTAGAATTGGTTCGGAACTATAGAATTTAGGACTATTCAGAACTATCGAAAAAGGGATGCAGCGCGGGCAATTGATACTTCGTAGGACTTCACAGTGTTAAATTTGTCAGTTGCTTGCATGCAGAAGATAATTAACGCGCACTGGCTCTAAATTCTCTACATAGTACAGAACCAATTCGGTCCTAGTGCTTTTCCCGACAGGGTCTATTCATTCCTTAAAAACTCGATAGGTTTCGAAAATCCGATTTTCTGTAAATAACTGCTTAAATAATTCTCATCAAAACACAGAATAGCATCTATCAGTCCAATAATGGCTACATAACTCCAAATATGAAAAACGAAGTTTAGGATAAGTAAGATGCAAATATTTTAATATTCTTTACACCATAGTACACAAGTAGTACGCCAAAAATCAAATTGCAAAAATATGCTTTAAAGCAAAATTCCTAGTATTACTTTGCACTGTTATAGTAATATTTCAACGGTAAATACTAGTTCTAGAAATATTAAAGCTTTTTAGGAAGCTTAGGTACCAGTGTTGATATTGTACTTTTTTCAGTACAATTAGTTTTAAAAAGTACATAAGTACAATTTACCGACTTTAAGTACAATTTCAACATCAAAAATACTTTTTCCAACAAACGCCCAAATTTCTGTCAGCACTTTGATTCTTAATCCGTTTAGATTTAAGTAAAGGACATACCCATATTTCATATTTGGTATAAAACGAAATTGTGAATTGTAATTTTGAATGTAAACGAGATTATGAATGATAATATTAGTGATGAGCGTTATGGTGATTGCAATTTTTATCACCGGCGGGTGAAATATCCCTCATCGCTATTTATTTTGAAAAATTTAGTCACCTCATTTTATGTGATTGACTTTCATTAATATAAACTGATCTATCTACCGTATTAATTTTTATCATTATTGTCTTCATGAGTGAGATCTTTGTCTGACAAAAACCAAGGCGTTTGATTGTCAAAATTTTGCATTTGGCTAGAGAGTGAGTGAAAACATGAAAGTGTTTGTATTTTCTGTCGCCCTTTTTCATTTGGGGAAGAATAGCTGGAATTTGACAATGGCCCGCTAAAAGCTAAAACAAAATACAAGTTATTGTTGTATTTGTTGAATCGATACCACCTTATATGTATTCGCCTTGGACAAAAACCATACAAGTAAATCCAAGTTTCAAAGTTTCATCAAAATTTCACTATTTTTATTCAGAATTTGTAGAAATTTGTTGGGTAAACATTTTTGTACCCATTCATTCTAGTAAATACAATAAGGTGCTAGTTTGAAGTATCTAAAAAATACCGTTGATTTTTCGTTTTTTTTTACGGTGGTACACCCTTTTTCCATATAACGAATGTTCGCATTTTATTTTATATAGAAGAAAATGCGCAACACCGTTGTTGATTTTTTTTTTTTTGAACTGTGGATTTATTTTTGTTGGACAATGAGCTATGCTTTTATAAAAAAATAACTGATTTATAAAATAAAAAACAAAAAACAAAATAAATATCCCGAACCGGTTGACCGTATCATTTTGTAGCGGGGTGTGCTTTTAAAAAAGTGGGATATAATTTAAGAATTTATTTGTGTATATTTAAGATAAACTGCAACTTAATGAAACTTAGTTTAACTTAGTGGGACTCTCTGACAAAACTGGCCATGACTTTATGTGCTAGTTGAAGAGATCTCAATGATATGTTACGTTAAATTAATGTGCAATGAATTGAATAATAAATCCCTTCCTGTAGCCAAAAAAAGGTTTTTGTTTGGTTGAGGGAAAAAGAGTAATGTATTGACGGAAATGGTAAAAAGTACAATTAAGCTAAAGAAGTTCCCCTTTTTGTCATTAATTTAGTACAATTTAAGAATTTCAAATATCAGCACTGTTAGGCATTTTTTTTTATAGTCGCAGTTAGAATTTATTTTATTAGGAATATTAAAAAAATGCCAGAAAAAGGCCACCAAGTCAGATCTAAATTTCTGAGGCATAAACTTAAATGCTAAATCTAGCCTCGAAAAGGCTAACCTAGTCACACTGGTTGCTGGGTGCAATTGAAACTAAGAAGGAAATTATTTATGGAGATTTTGTGGTTTAAATATGAAATAAGACATGAAATACTGTTTTATTAAGAAATTGCTTAATACGCAAGGTAAGATTTTTTTGTGAAATGTAACATTTTCTATTTTATGAGTGGAAGAAAAAAATGCAGGTTAAGAAATTTTTATTCTTAAATTTGGCACATTTGAGACTACACTCAGATAGCTGAGTGGAAGATCGACCTATCTCGGCAGTCAGCTCGAAAACGCCCTATCTCAGAAAACTTTTCATGAACGCCCTATTTCAGAATTGTATTGAAAAACACTCTATGTTGTTGTTGTTGTAGCGGCTACAACAACCCCGCCCAGATCGGTTGATATCTCAGTCGTTGTCGTCAAGTTCCACTAACGGCAGCCCTAAGAAGCGTGCAGCCTCCACTGGGTCGGTCCACAGGTACAAAAACACTCTATCTCAGAATTTGGTTGAAAAATGCCCTATCGCAGAATTCGGTCCAAAAGCGCCCTATCTCAAATAAAAATGTATTGAAAATGTGCTAAGATAAGTCGTTTTTGAACCGAATTCTGAGATAGGGCGTGCTTCAATAAAATTCTGAGATAGGCCGATCTTCAACCAAATTCTGAAGTAAGGCGTTCTTGAAAAGTTTTCTGAAATAGGGCGTTTTAGAGCTGGCTGCAGAGATAGGTCGATCTTCCACTCAGCCATCGATTTTAAGTGGTGACAGGTAATAAGGTCAATGGAAATAAGGTCAATTGACTTTATTTCCCACCCTGGTGCGAAATAAAGTCAATTGACATTATTACCTTTCCAAAAGCGAAATAAAGTCAACAAATATTTGGAAATAAAGTCATTGACGCTATTTCCTCATTCAAATGGAAATAGCGTCAACAATGCTTAAAGTATGTCGATTCATAGAAAAAAATGTTGTTCTTACAATAAACATTGCCCCGTAAGTGTTGTTTTTTAATAGATGAAAAAGGCTTTTGCCAAATCCTCAGTGTTGTTATATTAATCCACACACAATCATGAACTACCTCCAATTGATTCTATTACAAAAAGAATATAAATTACGAATATGTAAAAACACGATGCGAAAAACTAAACTCCTGCGTACAGCTGGAATACGAGAAATATTTGAAGAAAGAGTGGAGAAATGATCCATAACATGCAAAACATTTTTCGTTTCTACAACAATAAAGCGAACACTATTAAATTGAAGAAACAGTACATGTCCAAAAACCCCGGAGGAGCACTGAAAGAATTCTGTGTTTTAAATTAGCATATTTTGAACGAATTCGGAATGTCTAAGGTGGAAAAGAACCCAACCTTTCTATAAGGAAACAATTCTAGAAAAAGAATTTTCTTACACTGTATTTATGTCTCCGCCAGCAGTCATTTAAAAGCAGCTAAGGAGAATGACGACACTATTTATTAGATGGCACATTCAACGAGCCAATGTGCCAAAATGCGGGTATAAACAATTATTGATTATTTAATATCGGAACCGAGATCATATAAGTTAATGGATTGGTTTTCACACACTTTTGAAACACAAATTATATGCTTTTTTACTGCAGACAAGTTGTTGCCTCAAAACACAGCAGAAATCTTCCAATCAGGGCTGCCAACTCCCCTTAGTTTCGAGGTGCCGTATTGAGGATAAAAAAAGTGCCAAATAGAAAAATAAAAGTGCCAAAAAAGGTGTAATTCCTTTTAATCATTCACATTTAGCAATAAAATAAAGCCTCAATTTCAAAACAAAAGTGCAATGATAAAATAAGATAAACCAGTTGAATAGCCTTTATAAATTAGAAAATTTTAGTTGAGAAAAAGAAGTGCACGCAAAGGATTTCACAAAAATGTATTGAAATGTTATTTTTTTTACAAAAGTGCCATTTTGGCATTTTGTGTCAAATTGAAAAATTAAGTGCCATTTGAAATAAAATAGGAACAAATGGCACGGTTTGAGCCAAGTTGGCATCCCTGCTTCCAATAACTTACAAATATAAAAATGTGAAATATCGCGGGCTTGAATTCATTAATACCCTCTATCTGCAATTTGCACAAAAAGTAATTTCTGATTTTAGAAACCATCTGGGACTTATTACCTGTCGTTATATAAGGTAGCATTAATATCATTGATGACAGTTAAAGCTTAGGTGGATTTTTATATCAGAATCTCATCTTTGTGAAAAGTGTGCAGATAGGGGGTATTATTGAATATAAGCCCTCGATGTTTAAAATATATAAAAATTTTATTTCAACGTATACAAAAAATTAATCTACCTGCGCTACAGCACGTCGGGAGACGGGGAGGGGGGGCCGGGGGGCCCGCGGCGTAGCGTGACGCGGTGTGCGCGCCGGTCGCGCGGGGTACGCGGGGCGCGAGCGCGAGCGCGACGCGCGCGGTGTAGCGCGCTGACGCGGCCCACCGCGAAGCTAAGCAAATTTAATGTTTGAAAGAGAAATAATGTCAATTGATTTTATTTCGTTTTTAAAAAGGTAATAATGTCAATTGACTTTATTTCGCACCAGGGTGGGAAATAAAGTCAATTGACCTTATTTCCGTTGATCTTATTACCTGTCACCTTTTAAGTAGGGAAGTACAAATAAAAACTTTTTAGGTTTGGCCACTTCTGCTCTCATGACCACAGTGCTTTAAGGCTTATACCAAATAACAAAAAAACAATTGCATTTTAATTTGTAAGGAAAGGAATTCATTCTACATACCGTCGTAATACACAATGGCTCCGCAAAGTTTATCTTTTTTTAACATGGGAAAAAGTTCCAAGGCATCTTTCTTTGAGAGATAGTACGAACTTTTAACGTTTCTATCTCCAGCAACGAGATCGTAGCACTTGATACCAACCCAATAATATGGCACTTGCCACCATCTGAAAATAAGTAATTTGGTTATTTTATTTAAAATCCAGCATATTTTAACATCAAGATTTTAAGCAAAAATTAATCATATGTATGTGCATACTTAATTAATAAGTTTATGAAAAATACAAGGACTTGTACCAAAGAATAAGCAATGAACTTAAATGTTAATGTCTGAACATTTTTTCATGGAAATTAATTCAAACTAAAATTCTCAGGAAAATCTCATAGAAGGGGAGGGATATGGGTTTTTCAAAAGACTGCAAGGTTGGGCTAAATAAAACATTTGCCTATTGGAAACTTTAAATGAGTAGTTGGTTGGTATATTCTGTCACAACTGCACTAACTTGAAACTATAGTAATTTTATCAAATTTAAAATACATACATATTATTCATATATTGTAACCCTATATCTGTGGTCATAAGCAATAACCGCCTAAGTCGAAAAGCCTAAATTATAGAAAATACTATTTAAACATTTGGATTGTAATGTTAACCTATGGGGAAACCAAAATATCGCACACCGTCTTCAATAGAGTCACAACTCAAAATAATACGTTCGTCAGAAAATGCGAAAAACTATTTCGTAACAAATGCTAATTATATGGCCAATGGCCACTTTACCTTAGGTTTTTTTAACAAATTATAACAAAAATTTTCTCCAGCTTTTGCTGAAAAGTAAATAAAAGCTCTGTGTACATTTTTAGCGCATAATTTCAAAAATGCCAAATTTTGAGTTGTGACTCTTTTGAAGACGGTGTGCGAGATGGGGATATCATATACACATGGAATAGTAGTTGCAGAATACGATAGCATATATAGCTCAATTCTTTCTTAGGTCGACTTAGGCCGTTATTGCTAATGACCACAGATATAAAAATTTATTACTGCAACGAATTATTTTGCAGATTTTCGAAAATGGTATTATAATCGTCGAAATCAAGTACGCAAAGTAAATCCGAGAGGGAAAAATAATGTACACCTAAGCGGAGAAACAAAACCTATAATTTGTTTGAGATAGATGGGTTCGTAGCCCATTTCTGTTGAAATATTCTAAATGCTACTACTTACATATATATATATGCATGCAATCATGCGATATACTTCAGAAGAGAGTATCATAGCATGCGTTTATGGGCAGTTTTTCAGGTAGATATGTTTTAAGCAAAAATAGCTATTGAAAAAAGTTTTTAGTACAAATCGAAGAAAACTCACTCAAAAAGAGGGATGTTAAACTTAATGTTACCAACCGTACTTCTTTCGAAAGTACAGTACTTCTTTTTTCGCTCTTGTACTTCGTACTTCGAAGTACAGTCAAATGTACTTCTTTGCAATATTTTGTACTTCAGGAGGGAGATTCTGTAACCATGATATAAATGTTTTTGCGTCAAAAAGTGCGATAGCGATTCGAAAATTGTCGCTAACTGGTTACAGAATTTCCCCCAGGTCCTGTACATGGCCTGGGCGATAAATTCGTTCAAACCATTAAAGTTGCCGGGGACCGATGGCATCATACCTGCGCAGATGCAAAGGGCTCTGAAGGTGTCGTGCAATTGATTGGATCCTATTTATGCGAAATGCGTGAGGACCGGGTACATCCCCAAGCCTTGGAAGGTAGTCAGTGTTGCGTTCATCCCGAAGGCCGGAAAAGGCTCTCATGTTTTCCCTAGGGATTTTAGGCCTATCAATCTCTTCGTTTTTGCTAAAAGCGCGTTTGCTAAAAACACTAGAGAGACTGATAGACCTGTACATTACAAACGCGATTCTTCGTGACTGTCATTCAATAGCTCAATAGGCTTATTACAAGAAAAGTTCAGTGAATACCGCCCTGCACACATTGGTAAAGTGGTCAGAGGAAGCCTTCACGCATGAAGATTATGCAGTAAGGCCTTACTCGATATCGCGGGGGCCTTCAAATATGTCAGTCCAGAGACAATAGTCAAGTATATTCATAATTTGGGGATTGAAGCCAACCTAAAAGGGCTTATCTACAGCTGACTTCGTGACAGAACTGTCGCGGCGGAGTGGGGTAGCGTCTGCACTCAGTACAGAGTCAATAGGAGCACTCCACAAGGTGGTGTTATCTCTCCCCTGCTCTGGTGGTCGCCTATGTAGATGATGTGGAACTTTTTCTTAAGGGGCGATTTCTGTACACCCTTTTTGATCTGGCTCAAGGTTACCTGAACCAGGTAACTAGGTGGGCGATCAACGGCGGCTGTCGTGGAGGCCTAACATTGAGGAAAGGGTAGGAAAGGTGTCGGTTGCCTTGTACTACTGTAGGGGAGCTATCGGTAAAAGGTGGGGTCTCTCGCCCAAATTAATTCATTAACTCTAGGAAACCATATTTAAGCCTATATTGTTTCAAGAAGCCCTTGTCTGGTGGAACTCACTAGAGAAGGCTACACTTGTAAAACAGGAATTAGCGGAGCATTAGCAACCACCGCTACACTGCCCTAACGGAAGCAAGTGATTTTTTTTTTTTTAAATCAAGTAATTGAAGGACTACTTTGAAACAAATGCAATGAGTAAATGTAAATGTGTTTCGATACTTTTTTTAATCAAAGAAACAATTTGTGTCTTGGAAGTATGAAAAAGAATCTGTGAAGTGCAGAACGCAAGCGTTTTCAAAAGAAACATATTGACTTTGAAGTTGTTTAAACGCAATTCATTTTAAAGTAGTTGAAATTAAATGCAGAGTCGGACAGTCGACTTGCTGCTTGCACACAATTCAAACTGAACATTTGAAAGCACATTTACATGTATGGCTGTAGCTAGCGTGCAAAGATATTTGCTACAATTGCTTGCGGCCATGAGTGTCCATGTTCAAATCTCATTAGGCGAAACATTTAATTTCAAATTTTTAATTTCGGGTTTTTTTAATTATGAAAAAGCATCTGTGAAGTGCAGAACGAAAGCGAAGTTGTTTAATCCAAATGCTTTTTAAATTAGTTGAAAATACATGCATGCAGGTTGAAAATACAAAAGGCCATGTTAAATAAATGATTTCGTTGCAGGTAAAATAGTGAGAATTTCAATTAGTTATTATTGAAAATAAAGTAGTTTATAAAATACTTTTAAATTAGTTAAGTTTCCTGCAGGGTGGCGCTTAACATACATATGTTGAAAACGGTGCCTGCGGATATTGCAAACAGAATTGTCGCAGCACGAACTGCTATTAGGCTAAGCGAAACCGGGTGCTTTTGTGACATAAAAAAGGAAAAGAAGACGTTTCCCTGCTACAGCAAATGTTTTTATAGAGCACGTTAAAACACGTTACCTCTCAAGGGCTAGTGATGGGGTTCTGACAGGCCATTGTGCGATTGGTATTCATGCGATGAGACTAGAAATTTCAACTGATCCTTTTGTATCAGCTGTAAAGAGGAAGATGAAGTGGAATGATCTCCACACTTTCTTTCAGACTGTCCAACATTCGCGAAACTAAGATGGAAGCATTTTGGCTCGCACTTCTGAACAAACCCGGAGCTCGCAGGGATCAAAATTAGCTTCATTCGAAATTTCGTAATCGGCTCGCGGCGTTAACTTAACCCAAACTAAGCTGTACTTCTTTGAGTTATGGAATAGTTGGTCACATTAGTAATACTCCTATATTGGCAGTAAGAGCTAGTACCGTCCGAAAACATTACAGTACAGATACATATATCAATAAACACGTACGAAATAAAAGGAACACATACGTTTATAAATAAACATGTACACAACACATACACAAAAACGGCTTTCACGTACACAATACATTCACAAAAACGGTACTAGACTGTCTCGCTTTGATTTCGGAATGCTTACACATTGAGAAGTTAACTTACTGCCAATATAGAAGTATTACATATGTACATATATGGTAAAACGGAAAAGGGCTTCTAACCGAAAGTGAAATTTTCGTACGAAATCCATTTCATTTTGACAAAATTGTGCACGTACGCAGAAAATGCACCTAAGCGAATAGGTACCTAAACGGAATATACTGTAGTACGAAGTCGGTTTTTAGATCAATTAAAGTTTTGAAAATGACGTGTCATAAATACCTTTCTACCGAGTTACATATTTTCGATTTTTTCATGAAGATTGGTGAATACTAGAAGTGCCCATCAGTTTTTTTGAGTGAAACGTGCAGTTGCAGTTCGTTCACCTTAGTGAAGTAGTTTCTTGGTTCATATATATAGTTCGACTGACGATACATTTATATTATTTTAAACAAAGTCCAATTATCTCTATTATCATATTACCCAAAAAAAGCTTTGAATTTGAATTCACAGAATACGTTTACATATCGATGGTCCTATGCAATACCGACACTAACTGAAAATTTCATATTTTTCAGTAGAGCCAATTAAAGATTTTGTGTTTCGTAATTTAGCAATAATATGTCTTAGAAAGTAAGTACATATTCCGGATTAATTGCAGTAATTTTGCAGAGAAAATGTGTAAGCTTTCAAATTAGGACTTTTTTCTAAAGGTAAGGGTAAGGTAAAGGTAAGGGTTGGACGGAAGAAATACGAAATAAGTAAGAACTCCTAAATAGTTAAACGAAAATAACTCCACTGGTATTACTGAACAACCGCACAATATTTACGAAAAATTTCGTTATTTTACATAAAAGCACCACTAACCTATCGACAGTTTGTGATGTATTCCAATATTCACGATAAATGTGAGGCACATGTATGGAGACCAGATTTCTGTGGACACAAATCGGGACATTTCTAAAGCATAGAATTCGTTTTTAGAATAAAATAACATCATCCATACATCATAACATCTTTTAATACAGTTTTATTTAAAACAAAACGAGGAGAAAAAACTTGAAAAAGGATCGCACAAATGTATACACACAACAAGTAAGAAAGTCTAAGTTCGGGCGAGCCGAACATTAAATACCCGGCGCAAGTATTAAATATATGATTTTCACCTTTCCGAAAGCTATCGCTACATGGTAAGCCGGGCTGTATCAACTTTGAATAAATTAGCGTCCTTAAATTTCGAAATATTGAA